TTATATCTGGTGTTCCCACTTTAAATACTAGCTTCAAATGTCTTTCTTACTGGGCTCTGTGGAGTGCTGCTAGCTACAAAACTGCGGGTTGGGGGGTCACTGGCTTCCCAGTATCCACAGAAGTTTATTAGAGCTCTACCTGCTGCTGTTCTCCTCAAGCTCAGAAGGACCCCAGGGATAAACACTAAATATAGTGGCCACCTTAAAGAAACCCCGAGACGAGAGGAGATAAGTTCACTAAGGCACAGCAGTGCAAACTTTATATTGTATGCAAATATATGTAGCAGAAAAGGAGAAAATTTGCGTTAGCTTCAGTAGATTTGCTAATAAATAATACGAACAAATGGCAGATTTCTAAATGAAACATGTTTTTCCTGTGCAATTTCAATGATTGTTTATTAGGGAAACCATGTGGGAAGCCAGCTCTCTCGAGCTGGCTGGGAAACATTGCTAACTGCGTTTGGAAAAGCTGGGCTGTGCTGCCACCAAAACATAGTGATATCTGGAAAAGGAGTGTTTGTAAAGTACAGGGAGCAGCATCTTAGCCCTGGCTGGTGACACCGCAGCCCTGAGAGAATCACAGCCAAAATGATGCATGGGCACCTGCAGAAGGAGCCCATGGCAGTGCTCAGCCCGACCCTCTCTGCACAAACGGACCTGGTCTGGGACCAGGGCCTTGGGACATTGCAGCTTGATGACAAACATCATGAGTCACCTTAAACTTCCAGACTCCGGGGAAGAGCGCGGTAGCGCAGAGCTCTGTGGGTTTTAGCACCAGCGGCAGGGAGAGGTACGAGCTCTGCTGCTGCCATCTCCAGGGCTTTGCTCCACGGCCGCAGGAACCGCGGCAAGCACCCGCACGCCGAGACCTGGGGAGATCTCGATACCTGCCCACAGCAGTCAGTAAAAGTAACGCTGTGGCAATCACAGGGATTTGAGATTCACTGAGTTGTTTTATCCAGTACACACGGAATTGTTGTGGCCTTCAAAAGAAAATACAGTTAACACTTCAAATTTTTCCTAAATGAAGTGATGGAAAAAAGCAATGGAAATTCCCGTTATACCTACCTATGTGGAGCACTGCACAAAGAGGGAGAAAAGGCTGGATCAAAACCAGAGAAATCCTTAGGTCAGATGCTCTTACTGGAGATTACTGCTCTAAATTTGCCATCCGCGGCCCCTGGAGCTCTAGCTCTACCTAGGCTTTAAGCAGCCACGGCTCTCCTCGCGGCCCTCCAAAGCTGGTCCCATCCAGCACCAAATCCTTGTACCACCTCTGCAAGTGTCAGCCCGTGGTTCCAGTACGTTTCTGGAAAGGACAAGATTTTCAGAAGGGTTTACAGAGGGATTTTCACTTCTTTGGTACTGCGTCACCTTAAACAAGCCATTTTATTTCCCTTTGCTTCATTGCCCCTTCCTCCTTCCTGATTTCTTCTGTAGAATTTGGAAAGCACTTTGCTATCTCATGAAGCTGTGGGGTGTTTTGCTTATTTGGTGTCAGTACAATATTTTGATTATATGATGTTTTACATAAGAAAAGGCTAAGTGCCACTTTCCCCTCACCCGGGGAGTGGGGGATGCAGGAGGTGGCCATCCCGGGTGTGGCCCGCTCCCAGGGCTGCCAGCACCCGCTCCCACTGATCTTCTGTATACTGAGGACACCACAATTCAATTCTTAATTTGCAGCTCACTGAATCCTGATAGAGAAAATATTAAGCACGATAGTCAGAGGGGGGAGCCCAATATCCCATCTTCTTGCTCACAGTGACGCCGTGCAGGCTGCAGGAGGAGAGATGGGGGAACTGTGAAGTGACTGGCCGCAGAGGACTGCCGCTGGCTGGGGCAGCCTTCCCTTTCCTCGCAGCAGCCTGCGCGGTGCTGTGCTTTGCACTCGTGGCTAAAATAGCGTCGATAACCCACCGGGGCTGTGCCTGTGCTCGCACAGCGTCAAGGCCGTCGCTGTCTCACACTCTGTCCCCCAGCGAGTAGGCTGGGGTGGGCAAGAGGTCGGGAGGGGACACAGCCGGGACAGCTGACCCCAGCTGACCCAAGGGATGCCCCACACCACATGGCGTGTGCTCTGCTGTAAAACTGGGGTAGCAGAAGAAGGTGGGGGTTTTGTCTTCCCAGGCGGCTGTTGCTTGGAGATGGGATGGCATCGGGCTGCTTGTGGGCAGTGAGTGGTTGCCTTTGCATCACTTGCTCTTTTCCTCTTTCCTTCCCTTATCCCAACCCCAAGCAAGTTTACGTGCTTTTGCTCTTCCTACTCTCCCCTGTCCCACCGGGAGGGAGCAAGCGAGTGGGTGCTGTGGGTGCTCAGCTGCTGGCCAGGGTCAACCCACCACACAGAGGAAGAGAGGACTCAAGCCTAGTTTATTAATCCCTTCACATCTTTCTTTTTTTGGCAAGTATTTGAAATGGGGCCCTTGACTCCTTTCAGTGTTAGTGGTTCAGAGTTACAGGTAAGAGACATTGTGGATCAGCTCTCCTCTAATTTAAACTAGATCTCATTCCTATAAAACTTTCTCCATTGCATGCACTCCGCTGCCCTTTGGTTAAGGAGCACAATGAAGAAGTTACAGGAGGACTGGCAATGCTGTGTGGTCAGGTTTGGTTTAGCTGACGTGATGAGAATCACAAAACTTGCTACTCTGCCCACTGCCCACCGCAGGAGCCACACCGTCCCCCTCCTCCCTCAGGGTACAAGTAACGCTCATCACAAAGGTCACCGTTTACAAATGTTTCCGTTTCTCCCCAAAGTGGCTTCAAGAAAATCCCAGCGAAGCACCAGGTCCTTCAGACCTTGAGAGACCCAGGGTTTCTGCTATAATGCTCAGATTGCACATTCTTGCTTCCATTTGCTTGTAGAGCGCAGGTTCTTGCACTGCTCGGCATTACAGTCAACAGCCATCTTCTGATACCCACTGCTGCAAGGGGAACTATTGTACTTCTGTCCCCTCGTCTGCTCTCCTGGAGTAGAGAACATCCTTACTAGCGTATTTTTGCATGCATATGTGTTGCTGTTTATCCTTAAGATGCAGTTAGACGGAAGGGCCTGGCTCTTGGGAAGGGATTGCAGCAATCCCCAGCTCACACCATCCAGATAACTGCTGAAATAACCTCAGCTGTCACCGCTCCTGTGAACAGCTTCCTGTGTAGCAGGAGGTCTCTCTCAAATTTGCTGCAAAACCGTATCAGCATAAGTGAATATAATCCACTTAAAAATATTAAACAAAATGTCTGCAAACAGAAGATGAGGTCTTTTTCAAGAAACCTCAGTGCAGCTTCTACAAGCTGCATGATGCTTGTTTCACAGAGGTCAGGTTGCTTTTGCAGAACCAAAGTATGGTACAAAGCTCCCTGCGAGAGCCTTCACCATGCTAGACCATCCAGAACAGGCTGGAGCACATACCTTAACTCTTCATCTATGGAATGTAAGCTGCTTAGATACCGCAACCATGGACACCTCAACAAACAAGCAGCAGCTCTGTGTTTGATCTTTCTCATCCTTTCTGAAAATGCATACAAGAACTCAAGGGAAACTTCCAGCCACAGCTTTTAGGCATCATGACAAAAGTTGCTCTCACTTACCAGACAGTAGCCAGTACTCACCTACTAGGCCAGAAGAGTGATTTAATGTCAATTGAGAGGGAAAAAAGACACGTGTTGACGCAGTACCAGCAGGAAAGCATTCTAAGTTTTTTTAGGGGTCTTGCAAGCATAGCACCTGACGCTGTGCAATCAGACAGACACTACCATGACAATGGCAAGGACTTCTCTGTTGCAGGGATGGCAGACCATTTGCCATTAGTCCGGAGAAGTTTCACTGTGAACAAAGTGAGTCTGGCTAAGATGAGCTGTACTTGCCAGGAACGCCACTCCTTTTTGGAATCTGAAAATGTGGGTTCAAGTCATGCAAGTGACCAACACGTACTGCAAATTTTATTTTTATTTCCTTATTACAGAAACTAAATTAGCATATGCCTACATCTTGAGTAAAACAAATTCACCACCGCAGAAAAAAAAGCATTCTTTTTATTCTCTAAAGCACATCTGTGAACACAGAACAAAGTCTAATGTCAGTGCATAAAAGCTTCTTCTTAGTGCACCTCTTCATTGCAGTTTCTCCATTAGCTCTTTTTAAAAAAATCATTACACCTTAGGTATTTATATATGCTTGCATTAAACTTTGCATAATCTACCCATAATGCAATTCACTTCTAGAAGTCAGTTAAGAAGCTAAACCAAAAAGGCCCCTTAAGTTTGCTTATTTACAGTTGCAACAGCTAAATTTTAAATACTTTACAGTCACTCCCAGCACTGGCTCCCAATTCAAAGGATTAGTGCATTCCATGACTTCTATATAACTATTTTCTAGAGGGGATTAAATTGTCCATACCTACAGCTATGTAGGTACCTCAGCTATCTACATAAAGTACCTTATAGGAAATAAACATGCTGACAAAAATATTTATAATAACGAATGACAAATGAGAAACTCAACCTTTAGGAAGGATGAACAGGGGTTTGGTTTTGTGCTGCAGCCATTGTTGACTGTGGGAACAGCAGCAATGTGGGAGAAAGAGCAGTTAAGGAGCGCTGAAGTCCAGAGCCGGTCTCTCTGGTTCCTTTGTAAAGAGAGATTTATGTTTAGCTCTCACTTCCTCCTCTTTCACCAGTTCTCCCATTACTGCTTTTTTTGTTAAATCATCGGGCAAATTTCTGAACTGCAATAGCGTACAAATTTACTTCAGAGGGGAAAAAAAATAATGATGCATCTGCAGACTTGCATTATCTGAAGACAGATTTGTTCCTCCGAGTCTTACAGTTTATGAGTGGATGCAGGTCTTGTGGCAACGGAGAAACTGCTGTAAAGATTAACAAGTGGGATGCACATGCATTTATCTGTTTTTACATACTTTCAAAACCCAAATGGAAGGAAGAAGTATCTGTGATTCAGGTAGGTCCAGCAGATTTTTTTTTTTCTTCTTCTTACACAATAAGGTAGATTACTTAGCACATTCCAGGTTAAAAAAATTACAGTAAACATTCAGTAACTGGAATGCATATAATATACAAGTACCATTACATTTACAAAGGTGTTCAGGATGATTTTTCTTTCTAGAATAAGCATAAAAAAGTTACAAGCTAATTCACAATAACTTTAGATACAATGTTATTAAAATACATTGATGTTAATCATAAAAATATTTTACTATTTACATGTATATTGTATAAACCTTAACAATAAGAATATGCCCATTTTAGGATGCCTTAAATGAATATTTAGGCAGATTGGCCCATTTTATAGTGCAGTATCCCTGTTTTGGTCTTCACACCATGAAACTGTACCAGATTCACAGTATCTTTGCTAGTGCTTTGCTAAAAGGCTTAAACTTTCTATTATTTAAGAAACATTCATTCATTACAAAGAGCCAGTTTTGTTTCCACTTTGTTTCTTATTAAATCCTACCCCCAATAGTTCAGGACACTCTGCCTGGCCTTGTGCGATTTGGTTGCATTTCCAAATAAGGCTATAATTCATTTCATCAGTTATCACGCTATCTTGCTTGTAGTCTGGATGCTGTGCAATAAATTCCCTCATCCATCGAGCGACTGTCATTAATTCTCCTGTGGACAAGGGCAAGTCAAATTTCAGTTTATACATCTAATTTAGCAGTACAACACCTAAAGTTCTATGCACTATATACACAATTAATGAGTAGTCCATGCTTTCATGAGAAACACATTCCTATACTTTTTTTTTTTTAAATATGGCTAAACTGCAGGCATAATTAAGCTGACATATCACTGGTAGTCTAAAACCTACTCATCTGGTGCGATCTTCAAACTTTCAGATGTCGTAACGAGAGTACAGAGAGAGGTAGCTACGGAAACAGGTGTTACCAGCTGATTGTATAGCAAGAGGTCTTAAATGTGTCATTTAACAGAGAATCTGGCTGAGACGAACCAACAGACACCTCTACAACAACTATATATAAAAAATAAATTTGTAGTTGATCCACCAGCTGCTAGCTTTGCTCTGCCTACCTTGACTTACTATTCTTTCTCCCTCTGGCAGCTCCCCTAGCAAAAAATAGACAGGTTCCTGATTATACCAACTCCTGGTTTGTACACATTGCTTCTGCTTCACTATGCAGTCCACGGGGCAGTCAGCAGGTGCCTAAGGGTCCCCAACACTTCTATGCAGGAGACCCGCATCCCTATAAAGTAGCAGCTGGAGGCCAGCTGGACACTAGTGTTTAGGCTACTGAATCTTGCTCCTGAATGCAGCATATGCAAGCAAACGTTAACTAGTACAAGCTTAAGGTAACTCTGACAGTAAGACATTAAGGCAGGCTGATGGAATGCTCGAAAAGCCTAGCAAAACTTTCATTGCTAGCTACCGGAACCTCAGCTTCCTTGGAAGAGTGGAAAGAGTCAAGAGCTTCCACTACAGAAATCTTTGGTTTAAGAATATTATAAAAAGCAAGAGGACTCAAGTTAAGGAAAGCAAGGAGGAACACATAAATAAAAAGTAAAAAGCATCCAAGGCTGTTTAAAGATATCCTACCAGTGGTTTTGGACAGAGGTACACAAACACAAATCAGAAAAATTGCAAAAAGTACAGGAAAGAAAGGCAGACTAAACAAGGTTATTAGAAGCAAAAACATCCCTCAAAAACCAGAAGTCCTGTTTTAAAGAAATGAGGCCAGAATTTACACTTCTATATAAAAAGAGGGCAGAAAAAAAAACTACCCAAGAGGCATTATTTGCTGAAGGCACTAAAAACTTGCATAAAAACTTTCTCAAGCCAATGAGAAGCAGGGGGCCTGCAAGAAAATCGTGGGGCTGGGAAATGAGCGGAGCATAAAAAGCGACACGTTTTTGGACCAGAAGCCGCTGGAGGCCGTCAGCGCGGAAGGAGAGGGGAGAGCAGTCCGGCTCGCACCAACACAGACACCAACCGGCCAGGCGGTCCCGCCGCCCCCCACCCTTCGTGCCGTGTAAATCTGCAGCAACACGGCGTGCAGCTCTCAAAGAACATATGAGCACCGGAAAAGGCACCACGGACTGACAAAAGGTGTGAGGCAACTTCCAAGTGAGGAGAGACAAAACAAAGGGAATTGCAAGTTCGGAAGCAACAATATACTTGAGAAGTTTGCAAAATTATCAATGTTGATGAGAAGTGAGTAGAGAAACATTATCGTACAACACAGGAACTAAAAGGCA